TCCAAAAAAGGTTTTAAAAAGTCTTGAATTTAACTTACGATTTCCAAATGACTTTGTCTTTTTTTGTTAAAAGCCTTCTTCCGGCCACAACAGGTGGGGGAGGGGCAGGACTGTGATCATCTAAAACCTTGATACCAAAAGCTGACATATGGACAAATGATTGTTTTACTCACAGTAACTTTTAGGTACTTCATAAGCCTGCTGATATAATCTGCTAAAGCTGTTTCTGTAAGGATCTGTGTGCTTTAAAATTACATTTAGTCTCCTTATTTAAGAACATATTGTTTATTTTATATCTAACTTTGGAACAGCATCAAAGACATGAAAAACTAGAATTAAAAGGAAAAACCACAAAAACATTTTACCGTAATACTTATCGATTGTTACTGATCAATACGTTTCATTTTTCCATACAGTCTTAAAAACCCAAATAATGCTGGATGATAGGTTTACTGGAACAAATTCGCTTTTAATTTACTGATTTCTGCTGTTTTTGCCATTTAGCAACTTCTCCCTCTGCAGCCATTTTTTGGGCTGTTTGTAGATCCACAGCAGAGGAAATTAGGTCATATAAACTGAACACATCAACTGTATCTCTCAGTATCCCAGTTTTTCATCTGTATGCACTAAATCATGCTATGAAAGACAGTCCACAGAGATTGGGACTCCTAAAAAATGGAGAGAAACAGATGTTGCACCAACACTGCCAATTTTATTTTATTTTTTTTTAAGTTTTATTTTTTTTACTGAATGAAACTTGGTCCATATCAGCTGAAATGTGTCCAGTTCGGCTTTTTTAGCTTCAAAACTCTTTAGCATACTGACCCAAATACTCTGCATCATGTTAAATTCTGTGATCCAACCACTGGATTACACAGTTTTCCAGCTGCTGAATGATTGCTTGTATTATTTAAACAAGCTCCCTCTCAGCTCTCAGGCAGATGTGACACTCTTCTGTCCATGCTCCTGCACTCCCAGCTGTGGTCGGAGTGAATTCCCATCTGTTTCCACCACCAAAACCAAAACCTCGTAGGAGAGCATAAGCCCTGTGTGTGGGTAGATTTATGCTCCCTGATTCGGTTCGGCTTTTCGTGCGTTACATAAGTTGTCTCAGGGCTTGAGCCACAGTGGAGAACGTGAACATGGGACGGGATGTGATCAGGGATTAGTCGAAGATGAAGATGTGACTCGGACGAGGAGGTTTCCTGTCGTGTGACGGGTGGAGAAATTCTTCATCTCTGTTAGCATCTCTGAATATAAGCCCTGCTTGGAGTTCAACTGACCGTCTAGTTGCAAGTTTACTTAAGGCTGCGTTGGGCTCTGTCCAGTCGGCAAGAACATATTTTTGGCTGAGCTGAATGTGGTTCACTGTGTAACTGATCTCTTCAATTCATTCTAATATATGAGAAAACGGAGGCTGTTGATGTTTCTGTAAAGGAAATATGGCAGTGAAAGTGTAATCTAAAGTATCCTGAAGAATCTGTCAAGCTCATATTATGAGCAACAAAACAATCCAGACTCTTAACTAGATCACAGTTTATTACTGATCTCATTGCTGTGGACATTCATGCAGTTTTATGTGACCTGCTTTTTACAATTTTAACCTACAACATATAATCAAAAAATTAGGCTATTATCTATACATTTTTTGAAAAATTAATGCTAAAATTATTGCTTTTAGGTCTAAATTTGTGTCAATTTTTGTATAAAATCACTTCATGTACGAAAACACAAGAATATGGATTGATTTGTTAGTCAGACACAATTATTCTTTTTCCACGTTTTCTAATTTTCTTCATGAAATAACAGTTTGATTAGGTCAAGCGGAGATTTAATTCGACACATTTACAAGAATATGATGCCTAAAAACTGTACTTGCTGTTCAGTATGGAGGTGGCATATTGTGTGGCTGATACCAAATCAATGGTTCACAAAATGGATGGCAGAACAAGGACTCCCACTAAATATTTCAACTTTAGGTCACATTTCTAGCAAGGTTTGCTAGAAGTGGAAAAAGCAGCCTACTGTTCCTCACCCAATATGCGGTAGAATTCAATTATTGTTTAAAACTGCTTCATCCTTCCAAGAAAGGATGAAAAAGAGGCATTTTAATAATCATTTAATGTCTTGAGTTCATGTTGCTTTCATAGAAAAACATTTGATCAGTATAAGCTTCATTAAGCTGTAGTTCTGTAGCTAGAAGAATATTTTCCTGGTTGCGTTTGAATCACATTTTACCTTGGTTGGAGCAACAAGTCTAAATTAGACCACTTGCCAACCCTTATTTGTCAACCCCTTTAAGCCCCTCTCTGAACTTGTAAGATAGTGATGGACCCTCCCCAACCGAAACACCTGTGCAGTCCATGTCTGTAGAGGCTGTGACCTGTTGACCCCCAGCTGACCCATATCCTCGCCTTCTTGACGTGGATCACGGCGCTGATGGATGTTCTCACGCTTGATGTGACAGTGTGATTTTCTGCAGTGGACAGGAAGAAAAGAGGTGTGGAAATGAAAAGAGGAGAGGAGAAATATTTCTGGCAGGGAAACAGGATTATACTTTAAATTCAGGTGAATCTCTTAACATCTACAGAAATCACAGATCTGAACTTCATCCAAACTCAAATATTATGATACAATGATTTTTAAAGTGAAATAATTTTTTTTTAAACTGACATTTTTAAAGAGGAACTTGGGATCTTCAAAAAAAAAAAGGAAAAATTAGTCAAGAAAGTGTAGTTTTTGTTGGTAGCATTTTTGTTTTCTGATTGATCTTTTAGATTTACTTGTGTTACCAGAACTGTAATCTTTTGTAGGGTGTAGCTGAATTACTTAAAACTTAAAATGTGCCACATTTGGGGATCTGAAATTAATCTGCAGTTATCGCTTATGCCAGTGGTTCCCAGAGTATGGGGCGCGTCCCCTACGGGTTGCACCGTGCCATTGCGGGAGGGGCTTGGGTAGTGGTATGGATGAATGGAAAAAAAAAAAAAAAGTTACACAAAAGTGTTTCACTGTAAAGACGGTTTGTAGTGTGTTTTGTTGCAACCTGAAGTGTGGGAAAAAAAACTTCAGTGGAGTTTGAAAACAAAATATTTGTATATGTTTATGTCTGGCTAAATAATGTGTGCCTAGTTGATTTTTTTTCTTCGGGTGGAGGGATGGGGGGGTTATTGTAATCCATGACTTACCTACTTTTTAATTATCTGGCTGATAAATAGTAGGCGGGTTTGGATGACGGTATTAAGAGGAAGTCTTTGATGAAACGGTGATCTATGTAAACAAGTCAAAGCCCAAGAGGAAGATTTTGTTCTTGATCTGAAAACAATAGAGGCTGGAGCTCCTGTTGGCCATCAGTGGGATCTGCAGGGATTGCAGTAAGCCTTTTGTCCCCTGAATAGAGTCATTAAAACAATAGTTCATTTTATTGTAACTAGAAATTGAAGAAAAACTTTGAGTCAACAACAAGATCTTTTTGTATTTTTAAACTGAAACGGTAATTAAAAGGTGCGAAAACCTTTTCCCAAGAAGCGAGTGTGAAGTTTAGAGAGACAGAGTGGGAAAGTGAACCATGGGAAGACAATGGTCGACTCCCTGTGGACGAGTGGAAGACTTCCTCAGAGGACTTACTCAGCATGCAGGTGCTCCTCTCAGTCCTTTCAGAGACACGTGTCCATGGAAACCATTGTCTGTCTCCTACGGCCTTCCGCTCCCCTCCCCTTCCAAGCACACAATATCTGTGCAAATGTTTTTGTGCGTCCACAAGAATGTAAAAACATGTCTATACATCCCATCCTAACCTAAGCTGAGCATTGCATCCTTCCAGAAGAGGACCCACAATCACTCAGAGCCACTAATGTGACCACTGACAGGAAGTGGATGGGAATCTGATCCTGAACACACAGAACCAGCTAAATGATGTCCAATATGTGTTCAATTGGTTGTGCGTTGATGATTTATTGTTCACAGTTGCATGCGTGTGTGTAGCTGGATTGAGGACAAGTGCAGTTCAGGCCAGAGTCTGTGGACTGTGTGTGTTCACACTTTGTCTTTTTGTGTCTGTGTGTTCTTGTGCATTCCATGGTTTGCCACTTATAATTTGTGTGTGAGAGCACCATGGTTTAGGGTTTGGTTAATCGGCTTGTGTGTTGGCTGCCTCACCAAATGCTGTGGAAATGACAACTGTTGGTAATGGGTGTTTTAGCTCCTGGTTATCTGTGGCGGCTTTGGCAGAGTGACAGTCACTCAGTGCCTCTTTCTTTTTTTAGGTTCATGCTCTGCTGAACACGCAATCACTGTCAGGTAATGACTCCCTGAACTAAAACCTCACAGATTTTCTAAAACTAAAATAGAGAAAAACTAGCTTTGTAAAAAATAAACAAGTTAGGAAAGGATCCAGAGATTCACGGAAATCTATTTGACTCTGAGGAAAGCATTTTTTCTGGAGTATTTTAGGAGTTTTACATGTTGAGATAGACTTCCCCTGAGAATAAAATACATTTTAGCTTAAGACAGTTACTTATGTGTTTTTGACTTTTAATATTAATTTAGAATTTAAGAGTGAAACTGAAAAACAAAACATCAGCAGCTTTAGTCCTGAAACATGGTTAGCTAAATAGATTATAACCGTCTTCAAATATAGATTTTATTTATTTACTAAAGTTTATAAAGAGTGATAGGGTATTCATGATGTAAAATGAAATCAAGAAATACAATGAGTTTTTACAGTCGCTGTTTTTATCCTTAATTGCACGTTTTTTGTCATTGTGTAGACTTCATTTTGCATCTAATTGATTTTTGCAGAAAGTCTGTTTGACTTTTGACTAATTGGCCATTTTATGTTTGGCCCTTTTTTACTCCAATTAGATATCATTCATTTTAAGAGAAACTATTAAAATAGATTACTATTGAAAAATACTTGTTTTTAAGCTGAAAAGAAAAAGACTAATTACATTAAAAAACTGCCAGTGTTTGTAAATCCAGTTTGAAAGCTGAAACAGCCTGAATGAGCAACATAATTTTCTGGGCATGTTTGATGAAATATTTTCCTTCTAAACATATATCTCCTTTTATCTCAGTACTTTCCCTGACTTTATTTTCAGCACCTAAATGATACTGAAAGTACTTTTTTTCAGAAGTAGCTTCTAAACCTTAGAGCAGTACGACACATTCACCGATTCTGAAAAGATAGGATTATTGAATTTCATAGCAGCCTTTCATAAGTAATCTTCATATTTTTCCAAAGTAATGAAGGAAGCATTTATACTGTTCTTCTTACTCTGTATGATTCCCTTTTATTTTGTAATCACTCCTCAGTACCTCAAAAAATAAGACAATTAGCCAGGATCTGTTTAAGCCTCCACTAGGGGGAGACATTTGGCTATTAAATTCTTTTATCCACTTTCCTCCACATTTTCCATTTTTCTATAACACGTCCATGTCTACATGTTGGGATTTAGACGTTGTCCATCTAGATGCCAACATGTAGTTCTCTCTCACTTGACATAAGATTTGTTCTGGTCATGGCTACTCTCACCCTGTTGGTTAATCTCTTAGTATTTACTGACCTGCCACTTAACTTTTCATCTGGTGTCTGCTGTGCTTACACCTGTTTGAGTCAAATTTTCCAATCTGCTCTCCACATGGTGCTCCTCTGAAGTCTCCTTGGAAAAAGGGCAGAGCTTCAATAATTAATAAGTTTGAACTTCTGAGAATTTTTTTTTTACTTGGAGGTAAATCTGTTCTTTGGCCCAGGATAACATGTTTGCTAAAAGTTTGCATGATTTTTTCCTGAAGCTCTGCACATTTGTGTCGAAGAATTCATGCACTTTGTTACTAGCAGCCTGGTGTCCATCTGCGTTTTATGTCTGTCGCAATCAGGAGCTAGTAGTAAGGGTCTGGTGGCTGGATAATCTGGTTTTACAGATTAGAAAAGCAGCACCGAGGAGCAGCAGGAGGAGGAGCTGAGAGGAGAGAGACCATGTGGACTTCTCTGGACAATGCTGCTTCTTTCTCAAATGGGAGTAGGAGGAAGAACGGTGCTTGTGGATGCTTTTCCGAGGACTCTTCTAAAAGTTTGGATTTTCCTTTAAAGACACTCACTTTTGGATAACTTTCCTGACCTTTGCAGATCTTTTTCTGTTTATAATGTGTTTTAGGACCACATTGCTTCTGGGAGGAACATAAAGCATGTCTTAACCACAGGTATTTTCAAATAACTCACTTCCAACTGGATTTAAAATTTACTTTTGCTGTTTTAAGAGTATTGCAGAAATGTACTGTGGTCAACTTTGTGGCTCACAACTCATGCTTTTGCAAGATGCTTGGATTCAGTCATCCCACTGACAGACGTGACTCAGTTTTCAACAACTTTGTGCTGCAATAGCGCTGCAAAATATTTTTGTTGGAGTTGATTCCTGTAATCGAACACTGTTCATACCCACCACCCGCCCCACGCCCTTTTTGTCAGGCAAATCAATTCAAGTCAATAGTGTCCCTGAGAAGAGGAAAGCAAAGACAAAAACGGTGGGAGGAGACAAGGTGGGGGGACAGAGTCCCATGTGGGTTTCTATATCTCAATCCTATCCTCCTAGAAATGAAGGGGGGAGGCCTATTGAGAGTTTGAGTGCAGGGGGAGGTCTCAACCACATCACCTCCAGCAGAGAGTCCTGAGAAGGAGGCTTGGACAAGAAGGAGGAGTAGTCAGGGGGCTTAGGTCCTGGAGAGAAGGGGAGGGCAGGTGGGTTAGGGTCTTGCTCCGAGATGATCACATACGTACAGTGCCTCTCATCTGAGCCAGCGGTCAGTTGCTGGGACAGAGCCTGCTATGAGGACCGGCCAGGCAGCAAGCAAACTCTGTGCTCTTTCAAGCCCTGCAGCAACATGGGGAACAGCCTCCAGGGTCAGGCCTGCCCCAACCCCAAGACCCCCAAATCAGAAGGCTGCCTGCGCAAACGTCTCCTCTCCGTTTCGAAGGTGCACCAGAAACAGGACTCGCTCTGGACGCCCAAACCACTGCTGGGACCTGTGGTTGAAGAGTCACCTGGTAAAACAACAACCTGTCTGGAGGGAAAAGGTACAAAATTAAGAGACAACAACTTCTGTCATGTAGATCTTGTCCATCAACACTTTAAAAGAAAGCGTTGTGATTTCAATGCCTTCTGCTTTCTGAAAGCTGCCTGTAGACCTCCCATGCATTTGATAAGGGAGATAATTTAGCTTCTTCTACAGATTTCTTTGAAGTCACTGAACTCTTTGAGGGTAATAGTTGCACACCATGTGTCAGAGCAACGGTCACAACACATGGAGGAGAAGCCTTCCAAGCTGGGCTTTGTCTTTTCCTATTAGCTGATTTCCATCCTCCTGTAACTGAATGATCTGTACCGTCTGTCGTTGAGGATAAATCTGTGTGTGTGCGATTCTGTATGATTCGCTGGATGTCTTTTGTGGGACGGGTATGAATTGTGACTTTATGACTCCAGATGTCTTTACCCATTGGTAATGATTGGGTTTATCCAGGAAAACTCAGAACGACCCTCTCCAAATGCATGAAGTTTGTTACTTGGGATTCTAGTTTTGTATACCTGCCTTTGAAATTTGCTAAGGTTAACATTCTAGGTACAGTGGATTGCAAAAGTATTTATACCCATTGATTATAACAATATAACTGCAAACCTCTTTAACTATTTACCATGCATCCCGAAATAAATTCTTTATAGATAAGGGGGAAGAACTGAAAAACTGTTGTTAAATGAAGGCCACAAAGTTCTATTTGATTATAATAAATCTTGTTAGACTCGGGTCAGGTGAGAAATTTGGACCTACATGCAAAATGTCTGTTTTCAAACCTCACTCTGAACACGTTTCCCCCATTGTGTAACGCGGTGGTAACAGCATCATGCTGTTGAATAATTGCCTTCTGCAGGAACAGGAAAGTTGATCAGATTTGATGTGAATTGGAATAGTACTAAATGCAGGAAAATTTTGGAAGAAACTCTTGGAGGCTGCAAAAAAAGTTCAGCTGCTAGCAGGACAGCAGCTGAACACTTTAACACTCTGAGCTTCAATTTATTAGTTTGGATCAAAACATAATCAGGTATTGAAATGACCCAGTCAAAGTCCAGATTTAAATCTAGTTGAACATATCCCAAATCCACGCCATTCAATCTGATTGATCTTGGTCTAATTTGCAAAGAACAATGGACAAAACTTTTAATCTGTAGATTATGGATGAAATAATGACACAAAGGTATGTTTATCTCATTATACCTGTACTACCTGGATGCATTATTTAAGTACCATGCTTCTAGACCCGCTGTTACTGCATTATATTAGGAAACTCCTGTACAAATATTGACGCAGGGAGACTATAATGACTAAGTGCTGTTTTGCATTGGCCTGTCACATAAACTACTAATAAACTTGAAGTTTGTAGTTGTCGTGCAACAAAATGTGAAATTTCTGTATCTAGCTATGCACATATGACGTGCATGACTGCGTGTCACTTGGGACACATGACTGAAGCCGCTCCACTGGGTGTCCACCCCTGGGAACAGGACATAATGGCAAGCAGCTGGAGGTGATGGGCCAGGCGTGCAGGGATGTGTGTAAGAGAGCGGACAGTCCGGGGGTGATGGAGCTGACACCCGGTTCGGGTTATGAAGGTGACCCACTTTCACCTCTGCCTCTGCATAAAGGAGCCATTAGAGAGACATGATGGGGTGGAATGAAATGCCTTTGACTTATGTCTGGACTTCTTTTGTGTACTGTACAATACATAAAACACCAAATCTCTATAAATAAAATAGCAGTGCTGAGCAGGATTTGTTGTAACTTTAAATCACTTTTTCTTTTTGGCTCTTTAGTTGGTCCATGGACTTTTTGTAACTGTACCTACAATTAAAGAAAAAAAAAAAAGTCTGAAGCTTAACAATGTGCTGCCAAGCGACCATGAAAAGTCCTCCTGATCACTTGGGCTAATGCGCCCTGACAGGTCAAGATGTAGCAGCCTTTGCTACTGTATTGTCCCTGCTCTCGACGTTTAATCAGCGTCCAAATGCTGAATTAATGATCCCCTTACAGACAAACTCCCCCAGACTGGAACTTGGCTAATTCGTCCTTTGTTCACTTTTGCTTACTTGATTTCATGCCGATTCATCATTTTCAGTTTTCTCCTTCCTTACAGGGCAGTTTATGGCTTAAAATTATAGTCATATTTCTTTAAACGAGATTTATCTTTCTATTCTCCAGCTCTTTTCTGGAGCAGCTGTTTGACAGGATCCCCATAAACCCTCAGTGGAAATAGGCAGGGTCAGTTATTGGCCAATGAAAGCAATTGCTCCTTGGGGAAGGGCACCTGAGAGAGGTCAGGCTTATAGAGTAACGAGATGAGGCTAAATGAAATGGCTCTTGACTCTTAGAATGGGGGGAAGCTCGGCTAAAATCCAGTTAAGGTAATATGATTTTGGTTGTGGGAATTGGAAAGGGGTCTGACTACAGTTCTTCGTCATAATCTCCTTTTGTTTGTTTCCTAGACACACAAACATAATCACTTTATCATCATATTTAGCATTTAATATAAGAATAGAACAGCTCAATTGGAAGTTTTTCACAATTGTATCTTCAGTAATTCAGCAAACATGGACATTTTTATGACTCCAAAATGGAAGATTCATCCGTTCATTGTTTTTTCTGACGTAAGTAGTGTAGGATTAGTTGTAAATGCCTCATAAGTGAACAATGAAGTGTTAGATTCCCCTGCAGAACTCAAGACCTAAATCCAGCACATTCCCAGAGACTGATGAATACAGACAAGTGCACACTTAGCCTGAATGTGCACAGCAGCCATGAATAGCAGGTTGGAGGTAGGAGAACAATGGAGTGGAGAGCATGACACATAGCTTAATGAGATGAAGGAAAAGGGGATTTCTCTCACACACACATGTGCACGCACACACTTTGAAGAATTTGGGGGTCAGGGGTCGGTTTGGGTCATTCAACTGTAAAATAGGTGAAGGCTGTTTTTCTTCAAAGCAGCTGTGTTTGTCTCAACTTTTTTGTTTTTTTTTTTTACCTTTTTTTAGTCTTCAATGCTTCAACTCTGTTAACTGGATCAATGTGTCATTTTTTTACACAGTAATTTACTATGACTATAAAAACCTCTGGTGCTCCAATAATCAGAGATAATCACCGAATCCTGGAAGAGGTGCTCGAAGCTCATTAATCTTCCTGGGGAAAAGCTGGTCAGTTATCAGTCAAATGGGTGCCAGAAAAAAAATTAGCTGATACATGATGGCAGAGATGTTTTTTTTAATCATGCATTTTTATAATTTTGACCTCTTGATCATTTTTTTATTAAAAGGTCTTACACAGCTGAGTTTTTCCAACTAGGTTTAGCTTCTGTTTGCATGAGTGAGACCAGTGTAATTAAATCTCTGAAGACAATAAAAACTCTTTACTTAATTTTTGAGATTCTCAAACGTATTTCTAAATCCAATATGTTCCAGAACAGAGGCTGGGAAATCCAAAAAGTATTGGTATTGAAGGTGATAGTTTTAGTCTTAGAAATATGACAATTTGGCTGCTGGGTACAGATTGAATGTAGCATTAGTTCTCCCTGGTTGCATAATTTATGTTATTTGCACATGAGCAGCAGTAATAGCTGTTCAAAGAAGCAGTTTCTCTAAATACGTATTTAAATACGTATTGTGGCATATTGTTACTGCGAACTACTGTTTACGGTTTTGTATGAAAGCTTCATGTATCCAGTTTAGCAGGTTTTATCATTTTACAGTATATCTTTGAACAAAAGTACAACTTCCCAACACTGAACGGCCCACGTACCTCGTCTGATATTCCATGTAACTGTAAACTCGCATATGACGGGATGTGTCACAGATATGGGTTTTGTCTGGAACGTGAGTCACTGATGGTGCGTTCAGATAATGAATGTGTCTGGGCTCAGCTGGTTCTTCATTGAGGAGATTGGAAGGAGAGGACTGAGTCAGCAGTATCACCATGAAGGGATCAGGTGTTGGAGAGACCCATATGTTTTACAAGGGAGTTTTACTTGGTGATATGATTATCACATCAGGACATTACAGCCAGATAATCACTGGGATCTGGAGGGACCTTCATCCCATTATTGATTAATTTAGTCAGAGGATTGACAATGGGAGAGCTGTGACAAAGCAGATGGTCGCACATTTTTCTTTATAAAGACATCATATTATCATGACAATGAAACCTTTTGGTTTATGTTCTAGTGTTTCTGGTTGTTCTCTTAACTCAATGAACATCCTGTCCAGGTTAGGCTTCCTGTTGACTTCTCTCTGGTATTTGGAGCCACCTGGTGGTTTAATTGTGGGAGAACATTAAGCTGAATTTGAGATCTTTAGAGTGCAACTGTTATTTTCTTTTTCTGCCGTCTCATATTTCTCTCATCAGACTCGAGTTTCACATGATTTTTTTTGTGTCTGCAAGACAGACAAGACACCTGTGATCAATAAAAAGATAGGAAAAAACTTTGCTGATGAGAAGTCCTGCCTTTTTGCGTCAGCCGGTTAGTCTCATGAGCTTTGCACATGGGTTAGATTAAATAAAGCACATTAATTGGGATGCATGCACATCCTGTTAAATACATTTTTAATCCACTGCCAATGAGGTAGGCAAGTTTTTTTCCAGACCCCTCCAACTCCAGCTTTCGCCTGCTGAAATGCCACACCAGTTTTAATCAAAAATCTAAGTGAGCAGTGGTGCTGGTTAAGCGCGCTTAATCACTGGCTGCACAGACCTCAGTCACAGCTCATTTCTTTAATGAGAGCTGCTAGAAGAGGGAGATTTCTCCACCTCACGCTGCTTTGAGTTTGGCCCGCTGCCGTTGGCCCCACTTGCCCCGATGAGCTGCCTGTTGCCTGTCTGCAGCTTATTCTATTAATAGTTTGCAAAAAATTATATTAAAAATGCATTCATTGGTAATATTTAAGTATTTCCCTGATGCAAAATGAATTAAATCGCATGGCTTATGATTAAATATTGAAGAACATTCCAACTAATCCGAGATTACACATTTAACCA